GCCACCCTCCCTGCCACACAGGGGCCCTGCCTCTTCCCCAGCCCCAGCTGTAGCAGAGGGAGGCACAGGCAGGCTCTGGGTGCCTTTGAGCATGGGCCAGAGTTTTCTGGCACCACGGGTGTCCCCGGGGGCTGAAATCCCTGTCAGCAGCCCCACACTGCTCCACGCAGCCAGGGCTGCAGCTGCAGGTGCTTGGGTTGGTCCTGCCCCCCTGAGCAGGTGGTGAAAGGCAGGGTCTCCTCCCCTTTCCCCTCCCCAGGGAAGCCAGCAGCCAGGAGCATGGCAGAAGAGGACATCGATGCCCTGATCCCACTGCAACAGGCGCTACTGCTTCAGCCACCACCTCCCCGAGGTACCGCGGGGCTGGGCAGCCTGCCCTGGGGCTGCAGGGGGGTGGGATGTGCTGAGCAGCCTGGGCTTCATGTGGGAATTTCTCACCTCGAGCTCCCCAGGCGGGATCTCCTTGCAAAGAGTTTGGAGCAGAACCCCCTGACAGGGCTTCTGCTAGAAGTGCAGGTGGAAAGGGCTGCCAGGCATCAGCGCGTGGGCTCTGCACGCCTCCCCCTGCCAGCTGGGTCTTTTCTTGCCTCTGCCTTTGTGCTTTTCTTTCCCTTTCACTGGCATTTACACTCTGGGGTTGTGCAGGTAAAGCAAAGCAGAGAGGAGGAATGAAGAGACATGAGTTCAAGGCAGGGCTGGGGCCCAGGCAAGGCTGGAGCCTGCCCGGAGCAGTGCTGTGTGCCTGCTCAGCCAGCAGCCTTTTCCTGAGGTGCCTTCACTGGCCTGGAGCTGAGCTGCTCCTCACTGGGCAGCCTCAGCTTCAGCTCCATCCCTACCTGAGTGACAAAGCCCCTCTGCTTCCCTCAAGGACTCCAGAGCAGGCATCTCAGCATCCTGGTAGCATCCTGCACCTCGTTGGGAAGTGGTGCTGTGATGGCCACTGAACCAACAGCTTCTTCCTTGCTGTCCTTCGATAGCTGCTTGACAGCCCTTTCCTCCCCAGATCTGAGAAGGAAACAAGGAAACTAAGCTTAAGCTGCTGTCAGCCTTCATCCTTTTGTTGGGGTGCAGAGGTGAGTTTGAGCCTCCAGGGTTGGCAGCTGATGCTTCATGGTACACTGGCCTCTGAGTCCTGTGGGCAGAGCTGGCATGGCTGGTGACAGTGACAAGTACCTGGGCTGAGAGGTGACCATTTTCCATTCTGGGCTCATCATCCCTTGTCCCTCAGCTCCCAGGCACAGCTCTTTGCTTGGTGACACTGAGCCAACTGACCTGTAAATCCTCAGTGCAGATTTTCCCGTGTCAAGCTCTATCTGTTTCCATGGCAAAGAACAGTTGTATTTATGGTCATTCACAGTCCAGTTGGGATATAAATTTACTTCCTGCAGAACTGCCTCTTC